AAGCGCATATTTTCTTACATTCTTTTTCTCCTTATTTTACATTTTGTTGATCTAGGAACAATCTTTGCTATAGTTCATGGCATCACTTAATATGCAGACTTCCTTGTGATATCCTGTACCTTTTGAAAAACAATTTTATCTATGTTAAGTTTCAGGACATACATGAAGTGAAATGGTGTAGACTCACATAAAGTTACTTGTAAATGTAAAATATTTCTGAGTATATTAAAAATGACTAAAAAAGAGTTTGAGGAGGAGGGTGAGGAAGAGCTGGCCTAAATGTACCTTTTTTTTTTTAACCTTTAACCTTAATCTGTCAGTTTAGTCTTTAGTCATATATATATAGGTTTTGCATGGAAGTCCATCCGGCAATCCCAAGTCATGTCGCTCTGCCAGGCCACTTAATTCTCCAGTCTCGCACTAATGCAGAACCCCTGTGATAATGAGACATCACTGACTGGACTATTACATCCGCTCTGCTTTGCCAGCTGCACAGATGCTCAATTCATAGTACATCCATCCAGCAAATCCTTCCTAGATTTACAGAAAAAGACTGAACAGTTTGCTTCTCACTTTTCACTCACTCAGTGTTTTTCATTAGACCTGGCTTGAGAGTTCAACATTAGATGATGAAATGGTATATCAGTGCATTAGGTGTATATTTGTCTTTGAAGTCTAACAATCCCTTTTTGTTACAGCAAATTTTGGTCCCCCAGGTTCTGAAAACCGACACATAAACTGAAACAAGCAATATACAATAAATTGTTTACTGTACGTCTAAGCTTCCAGTCAAACGCCTCACAGAGTATGTTCCAGGCCGCATGCTTGTCCACAATCCCACACAATGACGCTCCTCAGGAACTAAGAGGACTAAGAGGTATGGAGAACACTTCCAGCAGACTGTGACAGTGTGATAAACAGAATGCAACTCTAATCCGCCGACAACACCAACAGAGCTGGAGAAATGACAGTGAGGTGGTTAAGGCAGGTGGTTTGATTCTTATTTTCACTACAGTGCAATCTCCACACCAGATGTGAGCAGCTTTACTATGGTAACAGTGGATTATCATCTATTACATAACTGGGGCTGTACACTTAAACCTGTTGGATAAAGAGTCACATTGTGCAGGTTTTGTTGCCAGCTTGTACAGTATAGGAAGGACAGATTGCACTACATTAGTTCACTGATGTGTTATTTGAGTAACAAACACATTAGTTAGTATTTGTGTCCAATATGCACTGGTTGTGCCTTAAATAAGTTATGCAATTGCAAATGTTGCATTAATGAATATTTAAACAGAGCCCTAAAAACCAAATTAAATAAAATACAGTGGATGCAAGTAATAACCCTGGAACCCTGCAGCTGTGATCGCCCATTCCATTAATACACGTAACCCTAACACTTGAGAGATAAGAATGATAGAAAAAAGCGAAACATTTGCATTATTGTGGCACTACTCCAATATCCCATTTAGAGTCTATATTCACCAGTACATACAATGCATTTGTGCTTGTAAAGTTACCTCTCATCTGTCAAAAGGATTCATAGCACACAACTAATTACTCCACTGGACAATGCACTGTACCAGCAGCTGAGAGTTGGTATGCTGTCTTCGATGTGATCATATTATGACAAACATTTATGGTCAGGGTCGTCTGTAATTCTGACTGCAGCTACAACTATTTATTAAAAGTCAAGATAATCTCTTACATGCACAAAACCCCTGCAGGGCTTCACTGTGTGACTCTAAATCAGTGTCTGATTGTCTTAGGGGGGTGACCTTTGAAATAAGAGCCACTCATGTAAGTTAAACCTGAGACCTGTGTGGTTCACCTTCACTGCTAATTGCATAAGTGGTTGATTAATACCTATGGAACGTACAACATCATGTTGTATAATTATAAAACTGCAGGTGTTTGCTATTGCAGCTTAGTGGTATATAAGTGTTTGAAGGAGACAGGGTTGCCATACACAGAGAGGAAGTGTTTATTGAAAAGTTACTTAAGGGTCTAAATAAATTCAGCAGCAAGGTATACACACACCTGTTACACACAAGCCTCATCTGAGTGGAAGCTGTCATACATGGCAATTATAAATGAGCAGGTTTTACAGATCAGGTCATTCTAAAGGACTGATAAATCCATTGCTCTCTCATAAATCATGCTGTCTTGAGTACACAGAAGGAGCCAAACAGTGAACATCTACAGGGAATTTCACCGTACTCCAGTCAACAGTGAAATCCACCAGGGCAAGTGTACCTCTCACTGCTAATTATAATATTCCCTGGTGAAATTTTACCCCAGTTATTCCGATTTGTTCAATGAAAACACTTTTAATGCAGAGCCACATGAAACATTTTGATTGTGGCTTCAAATCAAGAAAAGCAATTTAGCAGAGAGCTAGTATTCACAGGCGAGCTGAGCCCCATGCTACAACAGGTAGTTTCATTTGAGCAATCTGTTTAGTCAGTGGTGTCCACCGGATCTAGTTAGACCTAATGAAGTGTTAAGAGATTACAATCCTCAGGGGGACATGAATGTCTTATAATATATGTTGTATAATCCATCCAGTGGTTGTTGAAATATGTTACTAACCTTATGGTGGTGCTACAAGAAAAGTCAGGGGATCATCCTCTGGTGACAATGAATGTCTGCACAAAATCCAAATAGTGGGCACAAAGCACATACCTTTGACTCCTCAGACCAAACATGTGATTAAATTTAGGTTATTAAAACACATCTGGTTGAATTTAGGGAATGATTTTTGTGAAATACTGAAAATGAAAACACATCCTGTCTTGTGAATGAATCCAACATTAATTCAGTTTAACTACACTTGACTCTGTCTCACATGTGCAGCAGTAGAGGCAGTGAATGGCATATGAGTCATTCCGTGACTCATTTGGATTCATTTGGCAGCCCTATTCACTTGTTCCTCTTTCCATTTATCTTCTTTTTTTTATCGCATATTGAAAGAATAAGAAGAATGTGCAGAGAGAGAGAGAGCGAGAGAGAGATACAGAGTGAAGGCATGTGACTGTATGTAACAAAGGTCACCAGCATGGATGGTGTGGCCAGTGAAGTAGAACCAGAAAGAAGTGCTAATGAGTGATGATAATGTTTCTCTTTTTTATTGTCAAGCACTGTCTTGTTTTACACTCATAAATAAGTCAACATAAAGGTCCCCTGGTTAGAGTTGAACCATGGATGTTTCAGGTTTCAGTTATTTGGTATGCGTCTTAAAGGGGCTATTTGTAAGTTTTCTCTGCTGCTGAAAATACTTTCTTGACAGGAGTGGGTGATGGTGATTGTGGCTTGTCAAGAGCTTCATGCATCATTGTCTTTATAATACAAGAGCTAAGAATACGCCCTCTAAGTAGCGCTACGTCTTCAGGACAGATTGAAGGCTATAGTGAGTCGCTATGGGAAAGCAATGAGATGGGTTGCTAGCTGGTTAACATGCTAACTTCAAGAAAAGAAACCATATTTAAAATTGGCATTACTTTCCACCACCGGAGATAGCTCTTGGAATGAAGTTTAATGCTGAACTCGCAATGTTTCCTTCGGGTATGTACAGCTGTTGATGCTGATGTTGGTTATGTAGCCATAGCAAAACTTACAAATAGCTCCTTTAACCATTAGGCAACTGGGGCACCCCACAATACTTTGCTTTTGTAATAATTTGCTGAATCTTGGGTACACTTGATTGATATTACAGAGGACTTAATATGGGCATTTATTCTTGGTGTCTACTAAAATAGATAAACATGTGTCAATGCTCCAAAAAGAAATAATTTTTCATATCCTGTACATAATATACTGCACTCTATTCACCCTCTGCAGTACATGTGTCAAATTGATGAAGATGTTTTCTGAATTTGTTTGTAATTTGTCTATTTGCATTTTCTTAAGTTTCAATGTGTTGAGTTCTCAGAGCCACTGTACTTGTGACTTAATAGACCATTTACATCCACAAAAAGCTATACAACACACTATAAGTAAAGGGAAAACTCAGAAAAGCATAATAGGTGCTCTTGATACATAATAACAGACTGGTAATATTAAATTTACTAATGTCATAGCACATCATTTCTGCGTCTTTCAATGCAAATTTCCAAATTTCTTTCTACCATCAGACACTTACATGGATGTTTGCAGAGAACTTCCAGAAATAACTTGAACATTTTTAGAATGGTAACATAAAATAAGTATTGTCTAAAATCACAACAATGACAATAATATAAACGTAGGATTTACTGTGAGTATAGCCTATACCTTCAGCTTAGCCCATACCTTTAGAGCAGTGCGCTCATAGAACTAATTAAATTGCTTATCTCTGTGATGACCCTGAAAGTTCCCGAGTGTTTGTTTGTTTGTTTGTTTGTTTGTTTTGAGTGAGGAGAGTGTAGCACAGGTCCTCCGCAGCAGGGTGAGTGAGCCCAGCAGGAGAATGGCGGACTGCATCCTGTCATGGTGGGGCTTTCGCTAATTGTTTCCTGGAGACCAGAGCTACACCAGACAGCCAGACCTAATTAGGATTTTCAAACAATCCAACCTGCCAGACGAAGTTGTTCAAAACCTGCTCTATGAGCAGAGGAGCACAATAACTTTGCAATAATGTTGTCAGAAATGTACAGTTATATACTTGTGCAGATGATACATACTGTTACATAAAAGTCCGACAGTTTATTGTATGAAAATTGTCTGCTATTTTGGTTATAAATACTGTGCAGAAACAGGACAGAATTTGTTTTTTTTAGCTTTAGATGACAAAATAACGACATTTTTCATTTGCTGAAAGTTGACTATTTACAACATCTTGTTTGTGTCTACCCCCCTTCAATCGCCCTCATATCATGGTCCTTACCAACATAAAGCAGGGGGAGAGTAAAAATCTTAACAAAAAAGTAAACTGTTGAAATGTGGTAACTCAAATATCTCATTTTACCTCTGAAAATGAACTGTTATAGTCTTCAGAGACTCTAAACTGGCTTTGGCACTCAGTAAACATTGGTGAACAGTCTGTAAGCCAAGCTGTATGCCAGCTGTTGTGTGCCATCCTGCCGCATGCCCTTTGAAGTGCTCCAGCCAACCACGCTGCATGAAGAATGAGCCAAGACGGACTGAGGATGCCAAATGGCATAGCTACTGCCATGTCAGTACCCTAACAATAAAATGTAATCGATCTTTGAAACAGCAACAGTGTTATGGGTAATACTGCATCACATGTCTGACCAGAATTTTCCCCTCAAGGACTGTGAGGATTATTAGACAGGGCACAAGTACATCTGGTGAGTGTAAGAGACTGGCATGTTCAGAGGAAATAGCAGTAGGCACAGCAGTCTCCACAACACAACAGGACCCCTCTTTTCAATTTCCTGCTCCAGTTTCCATTCCTGCTTTATTTCGTGCAGGGACCTGTAAAGTGGGATTTGCGAAGGAAGAATGCAACATTTAGCAGATATGGCAGCGCAGAGCACAAAACAAGGAAATTGATTCTGTCAAAGGCAATATTTGTGATAATGATCTCAATAAAAACATAGGGTGATTTCAAACAGGGTTAGCAGGATTCCCTCTGGAGATTTTACTCCTAACACAGCAGTGGTCTCTAACTGGCTTTAAAACAAGTGCCGTACACTTTAAGCTTCACACCAGCCTGTAACCTGGTGTGTATTGTATTTCCTTATTCAAACTAAAGCTTGTCTTTAGAAGTTTGACATCAGGCCTGAGTTAAGTGGTGTTGATGTACATACTTTTTCCAATTCGACTTAGTGGCCAACAAGTCACATCTGGGTGGCAGATGTCAGTGTTTTCATAAGCTGCATCTAATGAGTTGTATCCACACTGTCAGAGAGGCCTTCCCCTGTAATTATGAATAGGATGTTGCTGAAACTAGTTTTTCAGATCATTGGCAATATTACAGAATATAGAAATTGGATATCAATATGTTAGCCAATATTTATTTCATTAGATACACAACACGTAACGTAAAAAAATGTATATGATATATAAATGCACCAGTTTTAGCCCAGTCAGGGATGTTTGTTGCACCTCTCATTTCCTGTCTTTGCCAACTGTCCAACAGAGACATAAACAACAACAACAAACAGAATTGTGGTGAAGAAATGGGGACATTTTAGAAATAAACTTGTCAGTGCTCTCTAGTGGACAAACTGTAGTGCAACACTAGAAACGTTTCCTTACAAATTTAACAAATTTTAACTTCCAGAAAATAAGCAAAACAAAATATACGTAAATGATCTGCAATTCCATCTACTACTGTTATGGGAATATTAGGGGTTGGACGCATTAAGATAAACAGCTGGAGGTACTAATTTTCCAGTTGGGGGCTATTAAACCATCGCAGAACAAGAGGGTGCAATGAGATGACATAATTAGCAGAGCTCCAAATGCTCCAAACAGATCTGGTGTTTTCACCTGCCGTTATTTTTAGTCTCTTTAGCAGAGAAGGAGCTTCAGTAGTTGATTAAGTCACATGCTCCATGTGCGGCATGATTAATTCACTAAGTTTGTTTCCGTTGCACTCTGTCTTAATTTTCTTTTATCAATACAACTTTTCCACCTTCGGAAAGCATAAAAACTTTTTTTGTAATATTTCAACTTTTTCCATTTTTATCTAATTCACAAATTGAAAATGGAAATAATAACAGGTGGATGGATGGATAATGTTCCAAAATGTTCCTTTGGCAGACATAAACAGTGATCCCAATACATTTGCTTTAAGCTTATATTGGCAGGTATATTGGGCCTTTAAAAGAGACACAACACACAGCAGCAACTCTTTGTTTTGCTTGGGTATGTTCATGTGAGTGTGTGTGTATGTGTGTGTGTACAGATACAGAGAGAGAGAGAGAGCACGTGCTTCAGTAATTAGACTCATAAAAGTAACACACAGCAACATGTTCACCAACCTGGATTACCACATCTGAAGTTGCCATGGGAAACAGACACAACAACACCCAACAACCATTTATTTGAATAATTATTTACAGATGGTATATTCGAATATTTTTTTCTGACTTTTTGTAACACCTAGAATTTTCCACTGTAATGCAGTGATTGGAGTCATAGCGACACCTCGGGAACCATGGTGGGAATCTTTAATGCCAAATTCTAACATAAGACATAAATTATTGACAGAGCTTTTTATGTGATGTCTTTCAAAATTGTCCATAAAGATGCATATTTGTGATTCGGATCATTTTGTATTCCTGTGTCGTACTAAAATAATACTGTATGTTGCAGAAGGTGCTGGCTTTGGCTCAGCTGGAAACATTCCTACAGTATCACATTGCAATTATTGGAATGAAAATATTCCCTCTCCATTTTGGTAGGCTCCAATTCCAGCGGCCCATCCCACATCATTTTTTAACAATAATGTTTTCCTGATCTAGTATTTCAACAAGGAAGATCTCAGCCTCTTTGCTGGGAAGAATGGAAAACGCTCCCACTTTTCTTGAAAAACACCTTGTCTTTTGTAAAGTGTAATTTAAACGCTCATTGTATGTCAGACAAGATCAGAACATCTGACCTGTTGCACACAGCCAGAATGTACAGGAATGACAAATCAAAACATGAGAGCAAAGTGTGAACTATTTTCTTTCCGACCTTCCGAAAACTCTTGTGAAGAGTGACTGTTCCATCTTGTGCTCATAAAAGCCGAGGGCCTACCAGGGAGCAAAGATGGCATGCAGCAGTTTGTAATCACCATCACTCTGCTTCCATGACACTATAGGGAGACTTCCACCCAGCAAGCATTTGATTAAAGCAACAGCATCAAGTCCCATCTTTGTGCCAGTGCCACACATGGGATGGAGAGGTTGTGCAGAGGAGCAGATGTGTAGTACATTCCTTATGTTTGTTTGTCTGTGCAAATGAAGTTGTCAAGGACCCAGATGAGGAACAAGAGTCTCGAGAGAATAATGTGACATCTACTTCGATACAAGATGAAGATTAAATATCATGTAAATGAGTCATTTCCAGTAAGAGGTTATGAGGGTGCCATGATTTATATCAACATATTTGTATAATCCTTATTATATCCACACCCACATAACTGAAGGTGGTAGAGTAATCTATAACAGTATGTTTTCTCTTGACATGTTATTTCAACATTAAGTGAAGTGTTGGGCTGTGTTACCCTGATATTTTGAAAGATTTATTTGAGCCATTTGCTGTTTTGAATCTGGGAATATTCTTCAACTGTATGGCAGTTCTTTACCACTTAATATCCAACTGTGAACTTTAACAGTCAAAGTACTTAACAATAAAGTGTATAAAGAAGGCATATGAGTAGTGTAGTGTTTTGAAAAGGTATGTTGCCATGTCAAGGATTTGTCTCCCTTTTCAGTTGCACAAGTGTTGATACTCATAAAAACTTATACTGTATTTGTGGTTTTAAGAACCGAAAACCATCTCAGTGTAGTTTTACATCTCCTCTCTCAGGCTTCTCTCTGAAGCTCTAGTAACAACAGGTCAGTGAGCCAATCAGAAGAGAGGAGGCTCTGAGCCTTTCTTCTGATTGGCTGACTGTTTTCTGAGTAATTGAATAAAAATATAGCAGATTTCAGTTAAACACTCAGAGAAACCAAATTCTGCAAGGTTGTATGGTGGGTCCAGGTGGGTGGGGCTTGGGGCATGGCTGAGAGTGGTGACTGCTTTGTTGTGACATCACAAAGTTACAGAAGTCCTGATGGCTCGTTTTAAGGCTTTCTGAATACAGGCCCTGTGTATTTCTCTGTGGGCTGAGCACTTTGATACTTTCACAGTATTAATATAGAACCTAGACCTGCTTTATAATCAAAGAAGACATGGAAATCTCACTTTATCTCACTTTATTTTTTAGATGATCATCTGACAATCAGAGTATTTCAATCAGTGTGTGTAATAAATGCACACACACACACACACACACACACACACACACACACACACATACACACACACACACACACACACACAAACATTTATTCAACCTTATTTTCAATGATATCAAGAGTTCACTTAAAATGGTATAAATGCACACAGAAATAATTAACAAGAAAACAAACAAACAACAGAGAACACAGTTTTAAAAAAGCCCATTCAAAGGTAGTAGTAGAGTAGAGTATGTGATCATGGTTACTGATACTGGTACACTTGTGTTTAGTTTTAATAGGAGTTGTAAAATAAAAAAACATGCTAATTATAATGCTTTGGCTTTCTTTTATGACTGAATTGAAGTTGATACTCTGCATGCAGCCTATCATATTTTATTAAAGGCACATACTGCATCCAATTATTTCAATTATTATATCAGTTGCAGCTCCTCAGTCTTAACAGTGTTATTTAGGAATGTGTATATCCCACAGATCAGCATGTGCAAGTCATCAAACTTTTATGCAAGTCACTCAACTTGACCTAAAAAAAATTCTTGAAAACTCTGAGCGAATGTGTTTTCCTCCAGTCTGACTCATACCCCATCCGGACAGACTCTGGGGTTTCAGATATTGAACGGACCCCTTGTTGATCAGAGCTGTTGAGGAGCAAGCAGGGGAGAGCATGCACAACAGACACCCACCGTGAGTTAATGCGTATATCCTGTTGAGAAGACGGGTCACCCTGGAGACCAGACGTAGGTATCCCAGCAGGAGTGCGAAGAGGATGTGCAGTTGCCCTGCTAACTCCTTTGTCAAAGAAGAGCTGTTTGTGTGGATCATGGTATTGAGTGGGAAAGACATGCAGGGCCTTGTCTGACTGGCTCCTCCAGGCCTCTGACACTCTTTTACCAGTGATTTTGAGCTAGAAATCATTGGTAAAACAAGTGGCAAACAAAAGCCTGGAGGTGTTAGATTTCGTCCTGAAAGTTGATGGTTCAAAAATCTCCTGTACACATACGGAAGACTCCACTAATAAAATGCTTTATTAGTCCCAGTGGAATATTGTGTAAGTATTGCATCAGCATAAAGCAGGTTATGGTGTCAGAGCTTAGAAAACTCTCCAGTTAAATGTATTCCTTGTTGGGATCTTGAATATAGTGAAATCATATTGGTACAAAAAGAGGAAAATGTCTGGTTCATAGTGAGAGTACACCCTATTTCACAACATAATCTCATACTTTTTTCTTTTTTGGATTTACTTTTGGCAGTCTATAACCTTATTTAGCCTTAGTTTTTGTTTCAGTTAAATATTTATGTATATTTAACAAATAGGAAACTGCTACATATGAGAGCAACAGCATCACAGCCAGTGAACAGTAAGAAAATGATTTACTGGCGCCATCCAGAGGTCATTCATTGACACTGACACAAGCATCTGAAAGCAGTGCAGATATAGTCTTTATTTCACAAAATAAATATTGTAAACACTGAAGCTGTAATGGTCACAACATTACACTGACAAACTGGATGTCAGACCCATGGATCCAATATTCAGAGATTGTTTTTGTGCAGCAACAAGTGAAAGCACAGAAACTACTGTAATAAAACAGGGACTGGAGCGACTGAGTGAAGCAAATAACATATAACCATACACATTTTTTTTTTACATGTATTAAATTAGAAATGCACAGTGTTTAGAAATATTTTTTTTCAATTACATATACATTAATTTACTTATGACTTGAATAAAGTTTTATAATATTGTTAAAACAATGCCTCTAGTATTGTGCCTTAATAAAAAAAATGGAGTATCTTATTCTGGGCATGCTTGTAATCCACCACTTTTAACAAAAGGCTGTTTATTAAAAAGTTATATGGTCTTTCATGCTGACATCTAAATGGGAAACCATGAATTTATCAGCAACCCAGGTGTCTATCTAGAACCTGATCTGGATCCATTAAAAGCAGACAAAAACTGACGGATCGCCCTTGACCGTTAATGGAGATTTCACTCCTTTCCAAAACCTTCCTCACATTCTTTCCATCTTTACAGATTCCACGGCTGCTCTCTTTAACTTCCTTTTTGTTTTCATGAGCCCATACACAACAAAGACGATCCCTATTACACTTACAAGAAGAAACACAAAGATGATGTAAAGTGCTACTTCAGCATCATGAGATGAAAGCTCCAGACTCAAGAAGTCCACCATGTTCGGAGGCATAACGGGAACAGTTGCAGGAGCAGTGTTCTCTGTGGTCACAGTGGGGGTACTTGTAACTGTTGCAAGACAGGGACAAGAAACAAGAAAAATGTCGTCAATACTCCTGTGATAAAGATAATATTTGCATTTAGATCAGCAAAAATGTATATTACTTTTCATAGTGTACAACTTGCATTCTGTTGCAAGAATGTTTCCCAGGATTAACATCAGAGGCAGCACTACTTCATACATTGTTTTTGTGTCTATGGACTTGGCATTACATTACCTTCAGTTTCAGGGTTCAAACACTCATGGGGCCCAAGGGCTGGATCTGGGAAGCCATTGCAGTTGATGATGGAGGCATAGCGAGAGGCTGAGTTTTTAGGGATGCGAGGAAGCGTGGGGTCGGAGCGGTTCACATAGAAAAGTCCAAATCGCTCAGAGTAGCCTGCAGCCCACTCAAAGTTGTCCATTAATGACCAGGCTGTGTAGCCTCTCAGGTCGACTCCATCCACAACACAGGCTGAAAGTCAACAATAATGACTACATTTAAATGCACATACATAACTTAAAACCATTAGGATAATGCTCATAATGCAAAATTATACATTTATCATACTGATATTTTATCCATAGTGTTTTTCAAATAAATCTGTCAAATATTTACTGGCTATGGTACCTTTCAGTGCCTGGTTAATGTAGTTCTCATAATAGTGTGTTCTGTGGATGTCATTCAAGTCCACTGCTCCTCTCTCTGAGATCCCATTCTCTGTGACATAGACGGGCGGGTTTCCATACTCATCCTTGATGAACTTGAGGATTTTCCTGAATCCAAATGGAGTGATCTTCAGCCAGAAGGAGCCAGATTCAATCCAGGTACGGTCATGTGTGGTTTTAGTACCCCTGGATATTGGATTGGATGTTCTCTCGCCATTGCTCAAATATGCCATTAAACAGGCAACTGAGAAAACATTATCAAGGTGTCATTTTTTTTCGTTCAAGCTTACCTGTCACCTTCATAATCCTGCTGATTTCCCAAATCAACAGGGGATGAAAGAACTGTGGTGTAATGGTTAAAGCCAAAGTAATCATGAGTCCCTTTGATCCTCTTGATTTCCTCAGGAGTGAATTCCGGAAGCCTATGTTAGAAAGAAGTAATTTTTAAAACACAATCTTTGATTAAAGATCATCTCAGTCCTCAGACCAAAAAAAATAATGTTCATTTGTCACTTACAGTGCATAATTCCAGGCAATTACGTTTAGTTTACTGAACCAAATCATAAACAATACTTGTGGTGGAAGTGTAAGTAGAGCATGACAGAATGCATTTATTGATTGAGGGTTCAACACCAAGTGCATAGCAAATATCATTGTATGCATCAATAATATTTCTGTGCTTGTGATGGAATAAACTATTATTCATTTACCGTGACTCAGGGAGACCTGCAGCAAGGCTTCTTTTGCGAATGACTGTTTTCATTAAGTCAGGATAATCACCATTAAAGACGGGATGAGCAAACCAGCCAATGAAGAACTGCAGAATAAATCATATGTTGTATGGTTACTATAAGTTTATCTGCTATGGCTAACAAATTTGTGGGAAAACATAATGCATTCCAGAAGTTTTCACTAAAAAGCATTCTCCACTAGATGTGCTTTTCTTAGCTTTAATTTACCTGACACAATCTTATCTTTCTTGTGAAGGTTAAAAAAAAAAGGTACAAAGTGGCAGACTCAATTCTGGTGTTTACATGTATTTGTCTACCTGCAAATATCGCTTGGCTGCATCCACATCCTCCTGCTTGTGTGGGTTCTGTGGCTCCACCCAATCAGAATTAATGGTAATGGAGATGAGGCCACCCTGTGTTGCACGGTACTTGTCATTGTAGAGGTGCCAAGCCTCAGCATGGGCTTTGATCAAGTTGTGAGCTGCAATATACTGCTTACCCACAATGCCTGAAACATTCAAGGTGTTATTAACAGTGCTGTAAGATTTTAAAAAAACAGGACAATTACAACCAATAGACCACATACAGGATATGTTTATGTGGTTTAGAATTGTTATAGGGATCTTAAAGTTAAGCAAAATCAATAACAAAAACTATTTCCAAAACCGATTTCCAGCTTTGACTAACTTCTTTGAGAGTTTCTAACATACACTGATCAGTTTACATTAGGCAATTTGTTATCTGTCTGAAACTACTTTTGTATGTACATAATATTTTTTTATTAAGGACATTCCACTGGTTTTGTCCCAGCCAGCATGTCCATGTGGGTTCAATCTGGCTTTTACAGTAGACATTAGACCCATATGTGTTCACCCATATCCTTGGGTGCATGACTTCATATGGCTTAGAACAGATACATGTATGCCCAGGTATCACCCACCTTGACTGGAAAAGGTGGGGCCTATATGGGTCTCGTATAAATAACCCAACTGGGTCCTACTTGCAGCCTGGTCAAATCCCACAGGGGCCACTGTGGAACCCCCAGACAAATCATATTGCAATGCCATATTTCAGACCATTTTTAATCTTTATGGGGCCCACATACAAATGCTGGCTGGGGTGCACCAAAGATAGTGAGAGTGGGTAATTTCTACAACTTTAAACTTATAGTAGATAGTGCTGGTCCATACAAAAAAAAAAAAATCATATAATAAATCAATAAAAATCAGTTAATAAAGGGAATATCTCAAAAGAATACCTGGAGCAAAGGTTCCATATCCGTAACCAAGGTTGGCTACAATGTAGGGTTCATTTAGAGTGATCCAGAACTTCACTCTGCTTCCAAGTCGGCTGAATAAAACATCAGCATAATCACTGAATCTGTGTACAATGGTTTCATTCTCCCAGCCTCCAACTTTCTGTAGAGCCAGGGGAAGGTCCCAGTGGTATAGCGTGACCTGACAAATAGAGGAAAGAAAAGTTTACTTTATTATGGTACACTTTTCACACAGGTGAAATGTTTCCCTTTGAGACTAAATTGTATTTTGTTAAGGAAACATTAATTTTAACCCGCATGCACTGCTGACATTTTTAATACAACCATTAAGTACCATCGAAGTCAGAAATGTTCAAATCCTACACATGGGAACCATTATATAATTAATTGAATGTCTGGTACCTTAATATGAACAACAACACTAGTGCCTACCTGTGGCTGAATATTAGCAGCTTCCAAGGCATCCAGTAATCTGTGGTAGTAGTTCAACCCAGCTTCATTAATGTGGTTGTTGGTGCCATCAGGAAGCACCCTGGGCCAGGATACAGAAAAGCGATAGTGGGATACCTTCAACTTCTTCAGCACCTCCACATCCTTGTCAATTTTATTGTAACTATCACAAGCAATATCGCCATTGTCACTGTTGTCCACTCTCAAAGGAGTATGGGCAAACTTGTCCCAGATACTTAGTCCCTTTCCAAGGGCTCTCCAGCTCCCTTCGATCTGAAATGCAAGAAAGGTAGTCATATAGTACCAGCCATGGGAAAGACCCTGTGCATCCTACATGAGCTCTGAAAGACACCTCAAAGTTGCCCCAAATTTAACACAATATAAAACCTATCCTGACACTCCACCATGCCCGTGTGAAGTGATCTCCACCAATGTGCTGGCATTGCCTACCTGGTAAGAAGCACTGGCAGTACTCCAGTTAAAGGTTTTGGGAAACTGTCCATAAAGCATCTTCTCATCATCTGGTAATGGGAAGCCATTGTCCCTCATGACCTGGTAATAATAGTGAGCTGAGCGTTTGGGTGTCCTTGGCCGGTTTGAATTGGTGAAGTCCACATGGTGCAGGCCAAATCCAATTTTGTACCCATTAAGCCACTCAAAAGAATCCATGAGAGATGTTGCTATGTATCCTTTCACCTTCACACCATCAAGATTATGAGCTGCATATATTTGGATAATAATAACATAATTAGCAATAAAAGGTGACATTTGTGGATAGATGGCCTTGATTTAGTACATTATAATTCCACAGAATATGATGATTGGTCCACAGACAAACAATCATATTACATATTGTGTGTGTCACTTAATTTCAGAGGACCAAGTGACAGGGACATATCAGCAAGATTTTTTTTTCTATTTAATCTTTAAATTTTTTTTCTAAAAATGTAATAACTGATGTGTGCACTCACCTTTTAAAGCCTCATCAACATAGGTCTTGTGGTAAAATACTCTGTCCGTGTCATCAACTGTGGTCTTAATATCTGTAGCTACTCCATTCTCAGTAATGTAAATCTCTGGATCTCCATACTCCTCTTTGATCCAGTTTAGGAGTCTCCTCAAGCCCCATGCTACAGCTCTCTGCTTACTGATGGCAGTAGTTGGTGAATCACCTTCCTCTGCTTCTGACAAATCCCGGTCATATTCATAAGATTGTGGGGTAAGTCTCAAGGTAGCATGACGTGCAATCTTTGTAGTATAGTGATTTACACAGAACATGTCAGCAGTTCCCCTGATGAAGCTCTTTTCTTCCTCAGTGAAGGAAGGTAGTCTTGACTCTGAAAGACCTTGGAGTTCACTTTTGTTTCCAACTTGCAACTTCATTGCGTCAGGATAGTCACCATTCTTGAAAATAGGGTGTGCAAACCAGCCCAGTTGGAACTGAAGAGCACGGTCAGCAGCCGCCACTTCTCTGGGAACGTTAACATCTTTAGGTTCAATCCAATCAGCATTTAGGGCAATGGATACTAGACCACCTTGGGATTTGCGATACTTATTGTCATATGTGTGGTAGGCCTTGGCGTGAGCTTTTATCAGGTTGTGTGCAACTCTATATGGAGCAAGTCCTGGCTTTTTAACATTTGGTGGAATCTGTCCAAGTCCATATCCTGACCATGCAATTGTGTGAGGCTGGTTGAAGGTGATCCAAAATTTCACTCTGTCTCCAAAGGTGGCAAAGGAGAAGTCACAAAAGTCATTAAAAATGTTAATCATATCTACATTGTCCCATCCACCGAGGGTCTGCAAAGCTTGAGGGAGGTCCCAGTGATAGAGTGTCACCGTGGGTGTAATATTATACGCTACGAGGCCATCAATGAGTCTATTGTAGTAGTCAACACCTCTCTGGTTCAGTGAGGTACGCTGACCATCAGGAAAGATCCTGGACCAGGACAGAGAGAATCTGTAGGACTTCACCCTCAGAGCTCGTAGCATGTAGAGGTCTTCATCAAGTCTGTGGTAGCTGTCACAGGCCACATCTCCACTGGGATTACCAGGAATACTGCCAGGTTTATGGGTGAATGTATCCCAGATGCTGGTCCCCTTCCCATCTGCATTCCAGCCACCTTCAATCTGGTAAGCTGATGACGATACTCCCCAACTGAAGCCTTTTGGGAAGGTACCATAGTGGTAGAGTTTTCTCTGAAATTTGCTTTGTTTTGAGAATTTCCTCCAGACATCCATGGCTTGTGATGGGACGGTGGAGGGTGGCATTGAGGAAACTTTATTTGACCTTATGTTTTTCAGTTCTGGTGCAGGTACCATCAGGCTTTTGGAAGCAAAACCATTTTTCTCAATGACTTGGGAGTAAAAGTAGGCAGATTGCTTTGGAGTCCTGGGTCTGTCAGGCAGGTCAAAGTTGACATGGTGGAGTCCAAAGCGTTTACTGTATCCTTGTGGACCCTCAAAGCCATCCATGAGTGACTGGACAGTAAACTGCTGCACATTTACTCCATCCAAATGTATAGCTGTTGAGAGAACAAAAACATTGAGCCACTAAAACTCATTTAACATGACCTTGTATGACAAGTCTTCAAAAGCTTAAAAGTAGAAAACACACATATAATCAGGTATTTAAAGGGTCCAAGACACAAAGCATACCTTTCAAGGCCTCATTGATGTAACTCCTCATGTACTCTATTCTGCTGGTGTCATTGAAAGTGTCCCCGCTGTGCTCAGTAGGCATCCCATTCCCAGTTATGTGGATAGGCACTTTGGTAACATTCAAGTATTCTGCGGAAATGTAGTTTAGAAGCCTTCGGAGACCCCATGGTGCTGAATATATCCAGTCAGAAGCTGTAGAGGACCATGATGGGTCCACATGTGCCTGGAGGTCACCAACCCCCTGAATACCAGGGGTGCAGCCTCCATCACTCTTGTTGACCAAACGGGAGGTATAGTGGTTTAACCCTAAAAAGTCAGCTGTTCCATGTATCCTCTTTCTCTCTTCAGAAGTGAAAACTGGAAGTCTTGCAGGCTCAGAGTGGGGACACTCTCTTCTTTTCTCTTCAACCTGAGTCTTGAGTGTTGCAGGATAATCTCCATCTACAAATATGGGATGTGCAAACCAGCCCAGCATGAACTGCAGGTAGCGATCTGCAGCTGCTATGTCTTCAGGTCTGGACGGGTCCATGGGCTCAGCCCAGTCAGAGTTCAATGCAATGCCCACTTTCCCTCCTTGTTTCATCCGGTACTTGTCATTGTAGACATGCCAGGCCTCAGCATGGGACTTGAGCAGATTGTGAGTGACCTGAAAAGGCAAAACTACTGAGTGCACCAGAATAACAATGAAACAGTCTATATTTACATTAGAGTAATGATATTACTCTCACCTGATAGGATGCAACCACATAGTCCTTTACTCCAGGGGGGTGTTTGCCAGTGCCATAGCCAGCATGGCTCACCACCCAGGGGCTACTGAATGTGTTCCAGGTCTTGACCCTGTCTCCAAACCTGGAGAAGCAAAAGTCTGCATAGTCCTTGAAGGCTTCAACAATGGAAGTGTTGGTCCATCCACCATAGTCCTGAAGTGCCTGAGGCAGATCCCAGTGGTAGAGAGTGACCACAGGTTGTATGCCAGATTCAATGAGTGCATTGATGAGCTTGTCATAGTAGACAGCCCCTTTTTCTGATTGGCTGCCTCTGTGGCCTGAGGGGAAAATACGAGCCCAGGAGATGGAAAACTGGTAGTTGTTGACATGAAGACCTCTCAGGAGGTAGACATCGTAATCCACCTTGTGGAAACTGTCACAAGCTAGATCAGCTGTCTGATTCACACTGGCCAGGCCTTCGTGACCAAAGCGGTCCCAAATGGTCTCTCCCTTTCCACCTTCTGACCAGCCACCTTCAACTTTGAAGGACTCACTGGAGGTGGCCCATTGGAAGTCAGCAGGGAAGGATTCCATGAGGAAAGCATCTCGCTCAGATGAGGTCATGGTGGCAAAATTGCTCCATGTTTTACAGTAGGTCATGGAACATGACGATGTTAGAAGATTGTTTCTGTTGTGGGTGACATCACTTTGATGTGATTACATTAAGAGAAAGAGAACAAGATGTTGAAAATGAGATGAGGTGGGAATATTTCAGGAGAAATTCAACAAATATTCTTTGGCATAAACTGGCATAGGACTGGTGAAAACAGTTTATAGACGGAACCACATAGCCAAAACATAAGTAACAAGTACAGCGTAACAAGTACAGTGGTTCCCAAACATTTTCAGTCGAACCCCCTTTAATAGAAATAAAACAATTTAAGTCCCCTCCCCTTTCAATATACACACACATAAACAGACATAGCTATCTATTGTGAGATAAGGTAATGTAATATGAATAACAGGTGCAGTAAAAACAGTGTTGTACCAGTTGAGCAAAACAAACTGTCATTATACTCTCTTCTTACTGCGGGCCCTAATCAAAGCACACTCCTATTGTTATGCACTCTTGGCCTCACCTTTGCACCAAGACACCATTGTTTTCACATTTTGGGTACTTTCAAAAATCAGTGGTATTTATCACTACTCATCTAAGGTTAGAAAAAATAAGCCATAACTTCTGACTGCATACCAATTATATTTAAGTTCTAACATCATGAAAATAAATGATCATATCTTTAATCATAATGACAAAAAAGATTAAACATGATCATTTGTATATTTGACAAAATAAGTGACTGTATTAGAACCAAACATGAGCTCCATTTTCAGTCTTCATCATACCCCCTCTGTTATAACCCGACACCTCATCCCCCACTTCAGGAGTCATTTTCAGTATGTTCATGTGCCACCTGTTTGTGAAACGGATTGTGAAATGTAAGCACTGTGTACTACAAATTTCTGGGGAAAAAACTGAATAACCCTTTCTTCAGCTGAACAGGCCAAACAACATGTTGTGTATTTTGTGCTTCACAAATTTAATTATCAT